GAGTATACTATACTAAATCATACATTAAACACAACTAAAAAAGAGTCTATAATTGCCATGAACTCTCGATAGAAATATCTTGCTGTAGCCAAGACGAAAAAATTGCAGCCGTGAGTATAATTGCACGAGGACATCGACCTCCTTATACAGATTCAAAGAATACATCTAGGAAGTTGTTATTAGTAAAAAATTATGTACAATCGCTCATTTATCACAAAATTGAAGTCGAATCAACAAATTGTCAAAGGATAAAAATAAATGATTACGTTTGGTGGTTAATGATAATGCAACAATGGATATCAATTTTAATTTAGGAGACTATGTTCAGAGAAAACTCGAGCTCTTTGAGCCTCAACGTTTCCTTTCCACCGTTTTTGTTGATCTACAGCACGATGGACAGCATCCGAAACAGGGTTATGGGAAGAGATTCCGCCGAGTCCACTACCGGCAAATATATTTGCGCTGCCGAATCCAGTACTACCCAATGTTCCAGCGAGATAATCGTTAGTGCTATAACTAACACGCTGCCTAGGACGCACTAGAAATAAAATTATTGCAAATTTAAGTAAAAAATGGAACAAAAATTGTATATGGAACTTTAGACTATTATATTAAATTAATTACAAAATTGAAAAAATTGGTCTTAAATTATATTTAATTTAATTAATAACCACTGGCTAATCGCATTCGGACCCTATTCAATTGTAATGATTCTGATAGGGAAAAAGTTTGAAGACGTTAAGTAAATCGGCCTTAAATGGAACGTGAAAAGGCATAAATGTATCTTACATGACATATTAAAAATAAAAATTCCAATTTTATAAAAATAATTAAAACTAATGTAGAATGACAAGTAGGCTCACCATCATCCACATGTTCTTGCTGTTCTGTATCATGTTTACTTGCCGGACAAGGGAATAGCTCCTCAAAAAGATTAGTACCATATTGTTTTGTAGATGGTGTCGAAGTTGCACCATATGATGTACTATCTATAGTTTGAGACTTAGGGATCATTGTCGAAAATGGTGAAAAAGGGAAACCGCTCGTAACAAATTTATTCTTGGTATATCTCCAAATCGAAGGTCCAGCGCCCGGAGCAGTAGAATTTCCTAGCCCACTATCAATAGCGTTTCCTATATTTGGAATTGGAATTTCTTTCCTATCAAGCCGGTGCGACAACAGGGGTTCAAGTAGCATAAGAATAATCATATACAATGTCAGTGCGGAAATGACGACGACAAGAAAGCAGACGACAACCTACAATAAAAAGTTACTCATAAATGTTTAAGATTAATCAAATTTAAATGTTTAGGAAACATACATTACCTTAATTGTAGTGGTATTCCTAACCTGATATTTGCATTCACAGTAGGGGCACAATGCAGAATCAGTACCGAGCATGAGATCACAATTGCTATAATAAAAAAATCCATTCCGTACCATTTATCTGCAGGAATAGACTTAACAATCGTTTTTCGAATGGGGTCAGAACCATTTGAACTTCCTGAATGATCGATGCAAATGCACTTACATCGAGCATCTTCATAGTTGGCCTAGGCATATAACAATTAATAGGACTTACATATACACAGGGTGCTAAGTATATAAACTGAAATGCAATGAGAAGGTAAAAAAAATGCATAACTCAAAATGCAGTAAATAGAGAAAGGGTAGCGGGAAAAACAAGAGAATACGGTCGGGAGATAGACATAAAGCAAAGCTAGATAACACAAACAAAAAATACAATAAAATTATTTGCTAATAATTTTTAATTCGTTTTTAATTTTTTTTTAAGCAGTAGTAATTTACAAAATAATCAAATACACTTGCATTTGATCATAATGTATGGATTACTAAGATAGTTTCGAGTATAAATAATGGCCTATAGGCTAGTACAAACTAAATACGGACTTAGTCACACCCAGGTTACTTAAGGCGAATTAAGACTGATAAGTTCGCCCTTCTCAAAAAGTTTTACTAATCATCTTTACTCAAAAAAACCTTTCGGAAGATATGGGTATGCTAAATTTAATTGTGCTGAGAAGCGTCACTATATTATCGTTTAAATAAAATTAGGCGATCTAGAGTGATTAAATTAAAAAGTAATGATAGCCTGAAACAAATCCTTATAGAGCTAGCTAGTATTGAGTTTAGTTTACTTATTTTCACCAAGTCGTGAGGATAGAAAGATCTTGCATAATTTAACTTGTCCTAGATTATTTACCATAATATTCTTGTTAATTTCCAGTATCTCACCGTTTATTTCGTGCCTGGTCAGAAGTTTTTCCGTATTGTATAAAGTCATTGGTATGATGATGAATGTTATCATGAATAGTGTGTCAGAGGGTTATGGGCTGGGTATATTCTAAAAGCATATATAGACACACTAGTGAGGTTACAAAAGAACGTCAGAATAATCGTAATCAGATATGGGAGAGTACAACTAAACTCAAAGCCGTTTTATTTTGATCTTTATTTCTAAGATAAAAAAAACATATATGTTTAAATCAGCTAAAATAGAAATCCACAACTCAATTGTCAATTTGGTATAATTGCTCCTTTCTTATAATATTTAGATCACTATTTCCTCGAATGTAGAGGGAGTGAATACTCGTTTTTACTCTGAGAGACCATAACATTTTTTTCATGTGCGTGCTTCTAACTTGTAGGCCTAAATCCAGAATAAGCAAAATTTAAAAGAATAGTGGGAGTGATATAGTAATTGGGTATATTATTTTGAACATAAGAACTATAAAAATGTCAGGAACATAATTCAACATTTGAGTAATCATGCCGTAAGCCTAGCCGTTGTTCCTCCTTAGCCAATATTGATTGATAATTTTTTATATGTAATAACAAGGCTATGTGAAGTTAAATCAAATTCTCAGTTCTACTAATATTATTGTGAGAAAATTATACTACCAGTCTTTATCACTTTAAACGATATAGGGGGAATTCATCTCATATTAATAATTTACTGGTAGTCCCGAAACTCTGCTTACATACGAACAATAAGTAACGTAGTCGATTTTTATAGCAAATATACGTTCTCTTCATCGGAAATCCCTCCAAAGAATGTGATATTGCAAAAGGCCTGGCTTCCCTTGAAATGCACATCTTCCTTGTGGCCAAAGGGCACCCGTGGCAATGTGGCTGAGTGGTTACCGTCTCAAGATCATATTCTGCTTTGTAACGGTTCGACTTCCACTAGGGGTGTTGATAAGACCTATGCGAGTTCGAACTGAGGTCCATCTTAGATGAGAACAACTTTTTGGAAAAAAAGGCTATGTGAAATTCAATCGAAACGTAAGCTCTATTCATATTATCGCGGGAAAATTCTACTACCAGTCATGCTTCTGCTCAAATGAAATAAGGTGAATACATTTCATAATATAGATTGTGTTCAGCAATCCATATTCTATTTAATTGACAGTCCTGAATAAAAACCTATTGAAGTTTTGATATAATCTTATGGAAGTCAATGCACGTTTACATGTAAATGATTTTTGCATATAAATAAATTATAAGTAAAACTTAATCAATTTAATTATTTACTTATTTTTGGCCTAATATTTAAACCAGGAAATTATAATTAGGCAATTTCGATTAGGGCCCTAGTAGACAAAAGGCTTATGTTCTAATAGGTTTAATCAAAAGGAAAAATCTATAGACTGAAATACCAATTTAAAACATTGTCCTTATACTACTAGCGCTAAGCACTGCCTCCCAAACTAGCATAATAAGGTAATTTGTAAATTTTAGAATAATCCGCATATAATCAAATTTAATATAGTAGTAAAATTATTAAACCCTAAAAGACTCTGGAAAGAAATGACCTCCATATTTAATTTTGGCCTCACTGGACCATCCAAGCCAAGTGCCTTCAGTATACTTCTATGGAATCCAGAGATAGAAAGCTCTCACATCAAATTATAATTTTGACCTAAAAAAAACTTGCTTTTAAAGAATCACTTAATAAAGTGACGATGAAGTCCTATTTATTTTATTTGAGAGGCCAAAGGGTAATTTTGAATTCTGGATGGAAGCAATAGAAAAACTCATACTCAAATATATGTTGGGGGGACTTTTACTTCGTATGAAAGTGCATGAAGTAGAGATTCGTAAGTAAATCTCACCAGAAGAGGACGGCTAACTCCCGCTGCTATGCAGCTGTTTATGCTTTTATAGGAAATTTAGGTTGACACAGTCGTCCAGACCTCCTTGTTTCGGGTGAAAAAATGCTGAGTTTTCGTCCATTAGAGGATGGACATAATCAGAGATTGGTCTCATTCCTGTAAAAGTTTCAAGTTAACACTAGAATAAAACGACTATCCGGCACTATCCTATCTCCTATATAGACTCACTTAAGCAAACCAAAATAAAAAAAACAAGATAGGTATAGAATAGTTTGCTTAATTATCTTTTCTATGGTCCTGCTACTTTTGCTCGATGATGCTTGTCTGTATTAACTTTTATATACAAAACCAATGACGTCAACCTCTTGGAATAAGAATAAATTATGCAAGAGAAAGCCCTGACTGAGACTGCGTAAATCAGTAAGAAAGTATGATTGAGATAATGAGATATATGCTTGAAAGTATGTAAGTCAAGTTACAAAGCAACTTGTCCCAATCTATTAGTCTAGTGTCATTAAAATTTAACCAGCCAAGAAAAGGCATGATAAGGGTTGCTTAATTGAGTCTATTTAATAGGAAAGAGAGTGCCGGATAAACTTCTTGCCCTAATGTTAACTTTAGACTTCTACAAGAATAAATCCAAGCTCCGATGATATACATCATATGATGGACGAAAGATCAGTCCGTTTTCACCAGAAATGAGGGAGGAGATCTCGTGGACTGCGTCAACCTAAACGTCGTATAAAAGCCAAACGGCTGCAGTTCTACGGGATTCAATCATCTTCTTTTGATGAAATCGACCTACAAAGCTCGCCTTCATGCACTTCCATACGAAATGAATGTAAACCTAATAATGTTATTTTAGCAGATCCTTCGAAACCTAATTAATCTTCGTATTTAGTCAATTTATCTTTACTTATGTGCACATGTATCTATATGGGAAACACTTTCTGCAAGAGGCAATATTAACACCTAAATTGTTGGTTAGATATATGGATGACTATTTTTAATCTGGCCTCATGGTAAGGAAAGATTAGATA